CCATATACTATAGAAAATTTGTTGATTTAAGCCCCTAAAAATACTTTTGAAAAGAAAAATGCAATGACTTAAGGCCAGCCAATTGGATGGGATTGATGATCAATGATAATATACGATGCCTCATTACATCATGTTTAGAGTTATGGTTGTCTCCATACTAGTACATAAACTAAGCCATTCTTGCAAAATTCATTGTAGCTTCAATCAAAGTTTGAGAGAGAAGAGAGGGCTCAAATTCATCTTTGTTCATCTTCTTCCATGTTTTATCAATCAAATCTTGTACCTATTCGTGAGCATCTTCTTCTAAAGCTAAAATTTCATGCATGTAATATTGAATAAATGTTGAGCATCACCTCTTCTCATTTTTTCCTAAAAAAAGAGGGATTGTAAGTCATATGAAAATAACTTATATCAAGAAGCAAAATGAGAAATAGGGTACATACCGGTGATGTTCCCAAAACATCTACAAGCCTCAATACCATTGATGAACAAAGGATTATATTGGGCAATTCTTCCTCTAGATATTGCAAGACTCTAGTTGTTATGTGATTTGAAAAAAGAATATAAGCATGCAACAATAGTAAATGTGCTGATATTGAAATGATTACATTATCAATGTACTCCAGCAAAGATAGTGTGTATTCTTGGTGGTATCATTTTTCCTCTATCAAGTAAGTTTTACATAAATCTAGCCACTGAGAGAAATTAAGACCGAAAAAATCAATTAGAGAAAATAAAGACAAAGAAATTAAAATTGTGAGAATTAAGTACTGATCCCACTTTCTTTGAGTAAGGAAGAATGTTATTCCTTGGTTCTGAAAAATGTCTAAGGATAGCTATGCTAGAATTGTTTGGATTGGTATCCTTGATTAGGTCCCAATTTAATATACTTGATTAAGAACAATTAAAGTTTGTATTCTTGTTTGGAATTATATAAAAAATTTGTATTCTTGTTTGGAATTATATCAAAAGTTTGCATCCTTATTATTCTTTTCTCTTTTTCTTTTTCTATCCTTTTTTTTTCGCGTACCATGAAAAAAATATTATTCTTTTTTGCAGCCCACACAGAAAATATATGGGATTTCTCATTCGAAATTAGAAATGATGATGGGTCTTTCTCGAAAAAAGAAAAAAGAAAAGAAAAAAAAAAGAAATAAAGAAAAAGAAATAAAGAATGATGATAGGGCCTCAAATAAGATCGCTCGCCCTGGAAGTTTTAAAATGTGGGTACGGCGGTATTTTCTTCAGACAGGTTGCTATGACACAAATTTCTTTGCAACAATAAATTGGTAAAGTGGACAACAACATTTATTTTTCTTTGGAGCCAACAATGTCTGAAATTAAATTATATTACCATTCCCCTTCAAGAGAAGAAGTAACTATCATCTCCAATGATTATTGACGCAGCAAAAACTTCCTTGTGAAGTTGGTCTACCTTTGCTGAAAATTAATGTAGCAAAGCCATTCCACTTCAGGAAATGGGATTCACAACCAAAGATAATATGCGATTTCTAGTCACTTGATCTTGAGAACTATGACCATCTCCATACAAATACATAAACTGAGCCATTCTTGCAAGGTTCATTGCAGTTCCAATTAATGTCAAAGGAAGAGAAGAGATCTCAAGTCGTTCTTTATTCAGCTTCTTCCATGTTATTTCAATCAAATACCAAATATATTCACGAGCATCTTCATTAGAAACTCCAGTTTCATTCATGTAGCATTGAATTGATTTAGGAACATCACCTCTTTTCATCTCGTCCTAAATTAAGACAAACAAAAAACATCATAAGAAAACTTGAATCACAAGTAATCTATAGAAAAACTAAATCAAAAGTTTTTTTATCTGATATTAAATCAAAACACACACACAAAAAATGGAGAAAACTTGAATGACAAGTCATTTATAGAAAAGCCAAATCAAGAGTATTTTTAAGGTATGCACCGGTGATGTTCCCAAATCATTTGCAAGCCTCAATAGCAATGACGAACAATGAATGACATTAGGATACTCCCGTTCAAAGCATTCCAAGCCCTCCCTCGTTATTTGATTTGAAACAAGAGCATAAGCATAATGTAGTATTATAGGTGCTCCTACGGAAACCACTGCATTGTCAAGGTACTCTTGTAGAGTTGGTGTGTATCCACTATGGTACCATTTAACTTCCAACAAATAAGTTTTACATAAATCTGTCCACTGGAAAAATTTTTAGAATGACTTAGTGAATTAGAAAAAATTGCAGAGTGATGAAAAAATTTAAAAATTCAAAAAGAAAAAAATTGGTTGTTACCACTTTTCTTGAATAAGGAAGGATGTCTAGTCCTTGTTCCCTAAAAATGTCAGCAGCCATTTGATTTATAGAGTTGTGCAGCTGAAAGAAACATAACTTCATGTAGTTGGGGAGATTTTCAATTCTATTGATATCCCATCTGAAAAATGGTATACAACAAAACATATATAAGATTAATCCAGGCCTGAATACAAGAAGCAAAATAGGTACTAACCTCTCAACAGCTTCAGTAAAAAGCACAAGTTCATCCAGTGTTCCATAGACATCATAAATGTCATCTATTGTTGTTATTAGTGTGTTGACTTGTGTTGCCATTCTTCTGTAATATCCATAATAAGGCTCATATAACTCCCCAATTGGCCATAGGAAATTCTCCACCAACCTATCCCTGATGAACCCCAACTTTTCCCCAAGACCTGTTCTCTTCCACCACCTGGAATATATGACCAGATGTCATTATCAATTTGAGCAATTTTTTAGAAAATGGAGATAAAATCGAAACCAAACACTATGTTGAGTTTTTGGAATTGTCATCAATTATGGTTGCTCTAATTACCTTGATGCATGTTTTAGATCTTCTTGGTGGGTTGCTTGCACCAGATTAAAATCCAACTTAGCAAGATCAAGCAAGATGGAGTTCACAAGGGGACTTTGTTGATAAACCTCTATGAACCATCTTGCTTCCATCCTAAGCATCCTCCAGTGAAGCGGCAGCTCTAGGGCGTGACTCACTAGTGTGGAAAGATACATATCTTTGCCTCGGTTAACCTTAATATATTCTTTGAGATGTTTGGTCGCGAAAGCTTTTGCAGCGTCTAATATGCTTTCACCTTCCACTGAATGGAATGAGGCTTCATACAGATATAGCATTCCCCTGTAATCCTCCCCGAGGCAAGCCTTAAAGTTTCCACTCTCATCTATGAAACCATTGAAAATCTCTACAAAGAGAGAGAAAAGAAAAAAAAAAATGGTAATCAAGAGTAGTTTATTATATATTCTGACATATTTACAGCACGGAAACTAGAAGGTACCTTGAGGTACATTATACCCATGTTGTCTTAGGATTCTGAATTCAAGAGCTGTAGCATATAGACTGTCTTTCTTGAGCCCATAATTTCCATGATTCTTGCTGTATATTCTGTCCAAAGATTTCTTTATTTCATCTTCAAAATGGTAAGATAATCCAAGTCTTTGCAAGTGATCGATGAGCTCGAGTCCATCCTCATCCACCTCCTCTTGTAGCATCACTCTCACATCTTCCTTTAACTTGTCCCTACGCATGTTGTATGCTTCTCCCTGCATGTGTAAAAATACTCTATCAAAACATTTAGTTTAACTAGCTAGAATAGTTAGAACTACCAGAAGTTATATATATAATACCACATATTCAGTTTTCAATGACTGAATATATTCAAAACTCCAGATGGGAGGTTGGTAATCTGCAGACCGCCTAGCAATTGCCTGATCAGACATGTTGATGGCAGACGTGGATTGAACTTGAGAAGAAGCATAGCAACTACGAGATGATGGAGGTCGCATACGTCCAGATAAAATGACTTTAGGAACAGAAGTATGCGAGGCCAGAGGCAGAGATAGAGCCATTGATACAGACCTCATCTTCTGGGGTTAGAGGACTAAATTGGTGTCCTTATTTCTGCCTTATTTGCCACAAGACTAGAACTCCAACAGCTTTGCAGATTGGGAAGAAACAAATAACTTGCTTTTATAGAGAGATTTTTGCTTTCAGTCAGGCCTCATGTTTTCCATGTTTAACTATACACAGCACTCGTTTCTTGAACACTCTCCTCCGTCTAAACCTCATGTTATTATTGTATTTTGATAACAAAATTAAATAAAATAATAATTAGTGAATTTATTAAAAAAATATTAATAATAAAATATAATCAAAATAGACATGAAATATAAATAACATGTCTTCTTCAAATGTTACAGTTTTATAATGACACTTTATGAATTTACATTATCCATAGAGCCATCTAATTCAAAACTCTTTTATTTGTTTAAGAATATTTAGAAAATAAAATAAGATAAGAAAAATAAAAAAATGTGAATGAACTTTTTTTTTTAAACAAAAAGACATGTTTTATTTATAAAATTCATGGTCATATAACTCTTATTTATAATTAAGTTAATGATAGAAATAAATTAAACAATTATTATAAAATAATATGCTTTTAATAGGATAATTAATCGATCACAGATAA